GCAACCTGTCTCCACCACGTGCACAGCCAGCTCACAGCACCAGCACCGGCACCCAGCACCAGCACCAGCAACCTGTCTCGAAAGCGCGCACAGGCAACTCATTGTTATTTGAAGTAAGAACCCCATAGCTTCGCTATCTGGGGAAATAGGTCCTAGGTCATCAGCAAACCATCCCCACCACTTCCACTTCCTAGTTGAGGCAAGGAGCTGCGTTGAGCGTTGGGACCCTAACATGGGTCCTGAGTGCAGAACGTTTCAATCAAGCTGCTGAGGTTAAATCAGTCATTCATTTAGACTCTTTATATAAGGACGACAGATCAGATTAATAACATTTAACATTTTGGATTAGGAAACCTTTTCATAGGGTGATTTAATTGATCAACAGTCAGTGGACAGGGTCTGTGACTTATCCCCTGGATGAAGCATAGCGGAACTCCCTCTGAGTGATTTGTCCGCGTCTTTGTCAGTGGAACAACTAAGTCTTTGTCAGAGGTCTTCTTGGTGTTTGCCGTTTGCCGCTGACCCTTCCCATTTAAGCAAAGAATACGACCAAAAACCCCACCGCCCACCCCACTCCTCGCTGGAGGAGTCCCGGAAAGCGTGGGTTCTGAGAGGTGCCCCACGGGTTGGCCATGGCCAGGATCTCGCCTGGCGCCACACGCCACACGCCACACGCCGCGCGTCGCGTCCCAACGTGCGGAATTGGAGAGCATGCGATCCACATCGGATGGGACACCGTGCAGCGGCGGCGGCGAACTCGTTGAGAGACCAAGTGGTGTCAGTGTTGTGTCTTCTCGTGGGCAAGCTCTGATGGGTGAGGGGTTCAGGATTTGTTCACGATGTGCTGAAGAATTGGGCAAAACATGGCAAAAGCATATAGTGGTCCGCAAATAGATCCAAATAGATAAAAACGATTTCCAATACATGTTGAAAAGGATCTTGGTTTTCTATCTATTGGGGGTTTATATACAAGAACCAGCCGCCATCTCACCCCACCTGGGATGAGCCACGAGGCATCAAACTTTTCCCGCATGAATTTCCAGGCACCCACATCGAAATACCGGTAGTCCTGGGCGCGGTTTTCCATGGCCGGAGGTCGACGGGAAGAAGAAGGCGTGCCTAGCTTGGTCTGATGTTCACAAAGAAGGGGCGCATGAGGTGCGCGATGACCCGGTAATCACAAGAATAAGTGGGCAAAGTGCTGACATCGACGGTAGGGCAAAACGACGGACCTCTCCAACACGAGTTCCCCCTTCCTCCAACCAGTTCTTCTGCCTTGCAACTGCCAGACCTGCCAGTTTGGGCACAAGATTCAATTAGCCAACTGGTGGGATCCGTTCAGGTAAAGCTCACCGACTTGTGGGTTTGAAAAAATGGACGCCTAACCCAATAGAAGGACCACAACCTTTGGAATTCCGAGATCCCAGAAGAGCATACCCTATCCGTAGGCCTATCCTAACCTAGGGTCTGGGCTACCCTATCCATAGGCCTACCCTAGGCCTATTCCTACACCGATGTCTAGCCTAGCCATAGGCTTAAATATCAATTCTGTTTGACGGGTCCCTTTATAACAAGGATTCTGTTTGACGGGACCCTTTAACAAGGATTCTACTTGACTATGGGTAGGCCTACGATAGGCCCATGGTAGGCCTAGGAGAGGCCTATGGGTAGGCTAGGGGTAGGTCTAAGTCTAATGTCTAATAGTGTTTCTAATAGTTTCTTGTTACTACTAGTAAGGCACTTGTTACTAGAAGCGATGCACTTGTTACTAGTAGCTGCCTAATTGAAGCAGGGCCAACGATCCATCCCATGACGTTCTGAGACGTTCCCTCGGCTCCCGCCTTGCAGGCAATCGATCACCATCAACGAGCTCGGTCCGGTCTCCCCTGGCAACGGAATGGCGACGCAACGGCGACGGAATGGCGCAGAAGGGAAAAGTGAACAGGCTGAAGCCTCAGAAGGACTGCCCAGACTGGATTCTTTGGAAGACTCAACATGATGGAGGAATTGCTGGAATTCCGAACACGGGATTCTGGCAAGACCCTGACCAGCTTCCTCTCAAAGGGGCCAAATCGGAGTTCCTCAACCGATCTCACCTGCAACACCTCCCATGGCCCTTCTCGCCTGAGTGAGAGAAGGGTGGTGGGAAGCGATCCCATGCCACCTGCACACCAGAGTGGGCCTCTTTTGTGGACCTCGTCTGTTCATCTTTTCCAGAACTCTTGTGGTTTTGAATGGGGTGTGCACTCGAAGTCCAAACTTCTTGGTGTAGGATTGTGTAGGTAAGCCTGCACTTCTTGAATCTCACCAGCTGAATGATTGACCCACAAAATGCACATTGATCCCTTGGGCTTATCCAAGGTGCTAGCCAGGCGTCGAGCGAACAAAAACAGGCACGCCAAACCCTCGTGCCTTTGGGTCAGGATGTGGCGTTCCATAGACTGGAAGAATGTGCTGCCAGGCTTCCTGTGGGGAGAAGCCCCGTGCAAGCACCAGCACAGCGCCCGCCAAGGTCGCTGAGACCGCCCGCCTGGAGCCCAGTGACGAACTGATTCGTTGGAATTGACGACCGAGTCGGAGTCGTATCTTGCTGGAATGCGTCGATCATCTTTGTTCCCAAACCATCGTTTGGACACTCGTTTTTGTTCAACCCCGCGCCTCTTTTGTGAGCTCAACAGCAGAACGGTTTTTGACTGAGACACTGCAGCATCCAACAACTTCAAGCAGGAGACGATCTGCGGCCGTGTTGAAGGGCGAATGTCAGGTCCGATATTGTCGTGGCATCAGGTCGAATATGGTCTTGTTTTCAAGGGGGTAGACCACTAGTAGAGGTGAGGTAGGTTAGCTAGATAGCTAGCTAGTAGTAGCTAGGTAGCTAGTACCTTAAGTAGCTACTACCGACAGGATGACGCCCCGTGACCTGCAGTACGAATGGTTGGTTGTGTGGTCCTACTCTATCTTGTAAGATCTTGTATATAAGCTATGCTCGTTGTTGCATCATGACATGAATGATGCCTTGATCCCTGCGGGTGACCAAGCTGCTGGGCACCAGAACGTGCATCAGAACAGCCAACCACTGACGAATGGCTCTCATATCAGCTACCAGTCCCCAAAAAGACCCCATGCTCCCCAAAAACATTTACAACATAAGGAGTGCACTGGCTAGCGTTCCGCGTTCGCTTCCACATCCTTCCTTTCAATATCTTTAATCCAGTAGATGACGCACTATTCATTTGGTTCCTACATGTTTAGGGAAACTTAACTAACATGGTCAACATTGTTTGAGTTCCTCGAGGTCCATCTCCTCCAGGTCTTTGTTCTTCGCACCCCGGTTTCAGCCTCTGTGTTCGATTCAATTGAAAATGGAAAAAAAAAAGACAGCGCACCTGGCCCAAGGTGGGCGGGTGGTCCCCTGGGAAAGGGTCCAAAACATAATGGCCATCTCCTTGGTGGCAGAGAGCATTCTTTTTCGGTAGCGTCCTCTTGCTCCGTTCGTAGCGATGCCAGGAGCCCCTAGTAGCTTCTTGTTACTAGTAGTATGGCCAGGAGCCCCTAGTAGCGTCCTAGGATCATTTGTGCACAAAATGTGTTGCCTTTGTGTGGGGTGCCACAAACAAGCCGTCCGTCCAAACAGGCAGCAATATCATGTGTATCAAAACGAATCACCAAGACGCGTCCAACGCTGCAAGTGTGCTTCTTTTGAGGTCTGGACTGCAAGCACATCTCAACAAATCAGTCTATACATGTTGAGCCCACTTGTCCATCAATAAGAGGTTCAATGCTCCGTGAACTACCACGCAAGCTTGACCTATGGGACAAAGAGTCATCCTTCAGCAAAGATTGCCTTGGCCCTGGTGTAGAGTGTCTTGCCCTGAAGTGTCTTTCCATTCACGGCACAGAAACCCTTGATGCTCAGCTCCTTCCTGGCCTTCTGGCAAGCGATGGTCCAGGCAGAGATGTTCTTGTACGCCTTTTTGCCAGCGGCATTCTTCGACTTTGTGATGACCTTGCCCCTCTTGTTCTTCATGAGATCGGTTTTGGCGTGGCCCGATGCAGTCTTCTCCTTGTTCCCCTTGAAGACTGACACCTTTGCCAGCTTGCCTCGTGCAATCTTGCTCACAGCCTTCCTCTTCATGACCTTCATAGTTGCAGGTGTTGCAGCCTTTTTCATGGACTTCATAGCGGACTTCATCGCGGACTTCTTCATGGGGAGAGCCATCTCAACCGAATTGCTTGAAGTCCCAAGGCGATGCAAGTTTCTAGCAACCTTGAGCTAAATTCAGCAAGCACGCCCCAAGGGTGGATAATTAATTGCACCTGTTCAAAGGCCCTCTGCAACAAAAATGCATCGTGATTCTAACGGCTAGACAAAGAGTACAGTATAGTAGTGGAACCACAAAGTGTCAAGTGCGAACAACTGGAATTCGGTCAGCACACACCTCAAGGTTGGTCGTAAGCAAAAGAGTCTCGTCTCAACTGCAGTTGAAACAAGGCTGGCATTGTTGCCAACACCTGGGCAACCCCACCATCCCACTTCAACTTCCCGAGGCTCTCCATTTCCTGCATGTAGCATCAAAGGACACCAAGCTCCCTGATAGTCTACTGTGTGTGTGTATATGATTGTGTACGTGCGTGCAAATCGAGAGGGGCAGAGATTGTTTCCCAGGGGTCAAAAACGGTCCGCTTCGCATCACCAACAGGTCCGCTTCTCTGCTTGGTTGGATCTCTGTCTCTGCCGCTGGTTGTGAAAATCTCCGCACCTCTGGATACATGGCGCAAAGAGACGCATTGCGGCTCTCTCCACTCCCTTTTTCTGCCTAAGCCAGGCAGCGCAGCCAGACAGAACACCACATGCTTCACAGGTACCGATTACCCTTGCCAACCTCAACCGATCACCGCAACACCTGTTGACATTGACAAACATCTTTGACCTTGAGTCGTGGGAAAGGGACATATATACCCAGTTCCAGGAGTATACATCATGGGATCTGTCCTGTTCGTCCCTGTGTCCCGTACGTTGTCCAAGAAGACTGCTTGACTGCCTATCTCTTGGCTCTCGGCACAGTGCTTGAGGGCTTCTTTCGCATCCTGAACAGAAGTGCGTTCGGAACGCTTCAAAGGTTCTTCCGAACTTCGAGCGGCTTACGGCTTACGCTTATGCCGTCCGCTCATTCCCTCAAAATCCATCCGATCGGTGGGAGAAAAGGAATGATGGGCAAAACGTCTCCACCATCCACCGTTCGTCTCCCAAGCGATGTCCCTTTTACAGGGACTTCCTTTGAGAAAACCGTGTCTTGGCGGGGCGTCTTGCTCTTTGTGTGAGCCAAAGCCATTTAACTCGGGTTACGGGTTCAGTAGTTTCCCAGACCACCTGCACGCTACAGACATCAGGCAAGTCCGACCTCAGCCATGTGGAGAACTGCTGAAAGGGAAGTCAAAAGACTTGGGACCTTCTAGGCATCTACAGCCTCTAAGATCAAGTACAAGCGGAAGGAGATAAACCAAGTCTTACATGATTCCTGAAATCAAAGGTCACAAGGCCAAGCTTCGCGCAAAACCGCCGAAGGATCCGCTCCCTGGGGGATGGTTGACCATCTGGGTGGGCTCCCCAAGGGTTGTCGAACGGCATCCAACTCATGCTCGGACGGGAGAGATGAGCAAACATGTTTCAAACGGCATGAAGAAATCTCCGCGCACAAAAAGCGTTGCATGATTTCATATTTCACTCTATATATATATAGATAGATGCAATACCATGTCGACCTGTGGGGGTGCAAGGTTGCAAGCTGCAAGAGCGACTGGCGAGTGCGGTTGAACAAAGCGGGGTCACCCCATCTTCTCAAAGTGAGCGCTCCACTCCTTCCAGTAAGTAGCCTGGCCTTTTCACTGAAATCTGAATCCCACGCAAAAGCTCCCCATGACCGCATGACCTTGAAACCGCCAAAAAGGAAAAGAAAAGCTCCTTCCACCTAACTCTGCTGTGCAGGTCCCACCTCACTGGGGATACAGAGCCACCAAACTCCCTGACAGAACTGTGCAAACACAGGAATCAGCTGCTCTGACCCGCTCGGCAAAATAAGGACTAATCAAATGCCATCAAGTATTTGGAGAGCAGTAGCTGCTGACCTTCTCAGATCACTTCTGCTTCTCATGCTTCTTATGCACTTGGCGGCGAAAAAATTGATTGGCCGCATCCGTGGCCTGCCCCAAATCTGCCATGCAAAACCTGGACCTGGCGCATCTCATTGGGCAAACGAGAAATCTCACTCTGACCATGAACATAGCGACGCATAGCGAAGAGACATCTGGTTTTGGACTGTTTGAACCATCTCGCCTTGTGCAAACGCAGAAATCTGATCCCCTTCGGCTTCGACCACGGGACCCTGCTTCAGCCGCACTTCAGCTAACATCGCTTTAGTTTCATTGAGTCTTGTCGCAAATTCCTGCTGCGTCGGAAAATCTCCGCGGGCGCACGTTTCCAGCGATGCCAACGAGGGATGAGATGCTGACGCAAGACTCGTGCTGACTTGCGACCTGGCAGGCGAGGGATTTCCGGACGAGTCTTCCAACCGCCGCTCGCCATCTAAACCGGAAGAACTCCTTCACCGAAGAACAAGACTGCGAAAACATAGAGCAAACTCTGAGAAGGAATATATATGCAAAGCCCTGCTGCTCCTGTTTTCCATCTGCCTGTCTTGCCGAA